CCAGGGGTCCTTCAACTGACTATTGGGACACAAGTGAACTTGGATTCTGCCTCTTGTTGAAAACCCACTTGATTCTCCCATTCTCCCATCCTGCCTTCCACATACATGGAATAGAAAGTCAACTCTTTTGTAAAGAAAAGTCTTCCTGACTGATCACCCAGGACATTTGGAAAACCCCTGAAGTTCTTTTTTACTTGAGCTTCTCTGTCTGTAGGGTCCCTGGGTGGTGCAAAGAGTATGTACTAGTCTTCTCACTTCAAGGTTGGCAGTTGGAACCCACCCAGCAGCACTGTGGCAATCTACTTCCTTAAAGACTACAGTCAAGAAAACCCTGTAAAGACTTGACTTGTATACTAGTGTTGTAATTCTCTTAAGTGTCCCTGAAGGCCACTTCCTATTCGATTTTTCGCAGTAAATGAGGCAAGCAATATTAAGATCTTCCACAAACATCTAGTCATCTAAAATGGAGAGATGAATCATTCTGCCTATGTAAACAAGCTAGATTTTAGAAGGGTAGTGTTGGGTTTGCTACTCATAGATTTCACGGTGTCTTCAAACTGAAATCTCAATGTTCTCAATGTGTAAAACCTGAGATAGATGCTTAAGTAAGGAAAATGCTATTCACCCAGTAAACCCAAAATAAAAGGATAATGCTGGCCATATATTGCCTTTCTGACATTTCCTTGGGATTCTGCAAGAGCCTCCCTTTTCCCCCTCCCCTCATTAAGACCATTTAAGTGTGTGGTAAACAACTACAGAATACTAAATAAGAAGTTTGGTCAAAACCAACCATGAAGCTGCAAAACAAAACAAAAAAGAAAGAGAAAGAAAACCCTGTAGAGTTCAGTTCTCCTCCGAAACACATGGGATCGTCATGAGTCAGAATTAACTCAATGGCAGTGGATTTTTGGTTTGGTATTTCTGTTCACAGGACTTTGGTGGTGTTTCCTGACCCCAGCCAGGGCATGGTGACAAAAGCAAAGGGCAGAAGGGAGGACAGACTTGTGAGGAGAGGTCTGGGAACAGACAGCATGGTGGGGAGATCAGTGAGGACTGAAGAACGTGAGCAGAGCAAATTGGGGTGGGCTCTTGCTGTTGCCAGGTTCCTTCTGGGTCCCCAGCCATGTCCCTTTCTCTTACCAGGGAATCCCTGGACCCACTGTTGTCGAGTTGATTCTGACTCATGGCGAACCTATAGGACAGAGTAGCTAACTACCCTATAGGGTTTCTCTGGCTGTAAATCTTTACAGAAGCAATTGGTGGGTTCAAACTACCAACCTTTCAGTTATCAGTCAGATACTTAACCCACAGTACTACCATGGGGAAGTAGGAAATGTGGGCAATGAGAAGGAAGTTTAAGCACGGTGGTGTCTTGTTGGTTTGTACAAGCAAAGAGGGTCTTGGGTAACCACAGGGTTCAGTGTATTTGCAAGAATAGTTCAACATCTCACTTAATTGGGGCTGTTTATGGGGAAGTGGTTTCCACAGTGAGAGGAGGTGCTGGTATCACCCTGGGACCACACTTGGCTGGTTCCATCTCTCTAGACCTCAGTAGTCATTGTTTCTTCCTGGCAGAAACTTCTGAAGTTATTCCACAGCGGCTGGCCATATCGATGTGACATGGGTGATGATGCAATGAGTCTTCAGCAGCAGGACCCAACGTGAACCACACCAGACAGAGTGGTAGTGGCGAAGTCTGAACTGTGGAAGTGATGGGAGTGGAGCCAGACCTTTGGACATTTGCTCATTCAAGAGAAATTCATCATGGGCTTTCAATGTGCACTAAGTAAGGATATGAAGGTGTATTAGGTATGCTAGCTAATATGGCCCCCAAACCTTAAATACTTACAGAGATGGCTCTGGCTTCTTACCCTTTGACCAAATAAGCCCAAGTCTAGGAATTGATACCTTGTAAATAAATTCAAGTGTGGAAAAACGTTTATGCATGGCAACTTTTGATTTCCAATTTATTTATATAACAAATTGAACCCTATTTAAATTGTCTACAATATGGGAATGGATAAGGAAATTATGGCGTGTTTACTTGATTGAATACTAGCCAGACTTTATAAACAATGTAATGATTTGGGAGTGTTTACTGTAATTATGATAAATTAAACCAAAAAAACAAAACAAAACAAAACAAAAACACTCCAGATGCAAATAGGCTTATTCTAATCAGGACTTGCCCCAGTAGCTGGGAGTGTGACCAAGATCACATAACGTGGTGTGCCCTGGAGTCAATTCCAACTCATAGTGACCCTGTATAGGATTTCCGAGGCTGGAAATCTTTACAGGAACATAAAGACTCCTCTTTGTTCCACGGAGCAGCTGGTGGACTCAAACTCTTGACCTTTTGGTTAGCAGCCCAACACGTAATCCACTATGCTATGGTGGTGGTAATGTGCCGTGGAGTCCATTCTGACTCATAGTGACCCTGTACAGGGTTTCTGAGGCTGTAAATCTTTATGGGAGCAGAAAGCTTTATCTTTCTCCCGCGGAGCAGCTGGTAGTTTCAAACTGCTGATCCTAAGGTTATAGGATAACTAAATTTTCGACACTCGCTCCAGGGGGAACAGAAGAAGCAAGTATGTGATGTCTCCTGTCAACTACTCTTTGTTATCCAATGCTAAAGCACCCCCTTCTCTTCCCCAAGAAGGACAATCTTGACAGATGACTCATTATTCTGAAAGTCTCCTCATTTTCCCCTTCCTCTGTCTTCTGCATTTATAAAGGAGGGTAGGAGGTGATTGTGGTTGGATTCTAGCACTTTTTAGTATGTTTGGAGTGATTGTAAATGACTATTACCAGAATCAGTGGTTAAAGAGACCTTAAACTCTTCATGGTGGTTAGTTTTACACCATGACGTGCTAAATGTCTCTTTAGCTACTAATTATGGCGATAGTCATTTGTAGGGTATACACGTATCAATATTCTCCTGGTTTTCCTCTTCTATTTCCCTAAGGGCACCATTTATACTGGATGACAGCCCATTCTACTCCAGTGTGATCTCATGTAAACAAGTTCTAACTTCAAAGACCCTGTTTTCAGATGAGGTCACATTCACAGGTATGAGGACTACTTCAAAATATATTTGGGAGATGGACCACAATTTAACCTGTAACAGGCTGTAAATGCAAAAAATTCTACTGCAAGCCAGAGTAATGTAAGCAGAAACTGGTAATGACAGGCTTACAGGCGATAAACCTGCAATCCAGTTTCTGCTGTAACTCCCCTTCCACTCCCTCCTCTGAAATATTTACATTCCTTTCTTAATGTGGACAATCAAGTTCTTTGTGAAAGTTCAGGGGGACATGGCCTTGGATCAGTGATCAAATTATCAGCACCTCTGTACCTGAGGCTATGACTACACCAGCGGGGGACAAGATGGGGACAGTGGTCTCTTGGCAGATAGGCAGTGGCTACTACAGTATTGAGACCTATGAAGCCCGTATTCTCAAACCAGTTGCCATCAAGTTGATTCTGACACACGAGAAGCCATGTGTGTCCGAGTAGAACTGTGTTCCACAGGGCCTTCAGAACGGCTGGGTTTTCCAAAGCAGATTGCAGGCACTTATGGTTGTTGCTAAATGCCATCGAGTCAGTTTTGACTCATAGCCACCCTGTAAAGGGTTTCCAAGGTTTTTAAAAATCTTTGGGAGAGCAGAAAGTCTCATCTGAAACTACCAGCCTTTAGGTTAGCAGTTGAGTATGTTAACCATTTGTATCACCTAGGGACTCCTACGAGGAGACCTGGTAGAGTAGTGGCAACGCATTGGGCTGCTACCCACATGGTCAGCAGTTCAAAACTACCAGTGGTTCTGAGGGAGAACGATGAGGCTTTCTGCTCCTGTAAACATTTGCAACCTAAGACACCCTGTGCAGCATCGCTATGAGTCGGAACCAACTTGACAGTATTTAACAACAAGAAGTACTTTTAAGGAGGCTGATGACACAGCAATGAAGTGCTGGGCTGCTAAACAGTTAACACACCAGCAACTCCAGGGGAGACAAAAAATAAAAACTTCTGTAAAAATTTCAGCAGGTCTACTCTGTCCCATAGAGTTTGCTATGAGTTGAAATCAACTCTACAGGCTTTTGTTTTTTTTTCTTTATGCTGTACGTTCAAACTCACCAACTGCTCCTTGGAAACCCGATAAAGGGTAGCTATGAGTCTAGACCGACTCAATGGCACTTTACAACAACAACAATTGCATTGTGAAGATTAAATAGACAGTGCATATAAATTACTCAGTCTAGAGTAAGCCCAAGTGCTAAAAAAAAAAGTTAGCAATTATTATTCAGAAATTTTGTTTGATTTATCATTAAAACTCAATATGGAATATGCTTCTTAATGATATCTATTCAGTAGTGAATTTTCCTGAAGCATGCAAATTATCATTTGATGTATAAAATATTTATCTGTTTCAATGTTCTGGACCGTGACTTCAGTGTAAAGTAAATGTAACTGTGGTGGGTCCCCCTTCAACCGATTCCAACTTCCTTCCATTAAATATCTTCCTATTAATTGCCTACTATTCCCCTTAGCCCATGTTCCTGCTTTGCCAGAAGAACAAAAGCAAACTCAATGCTAATTTATTTTTTAAAAAAGAACATCTTTATTATTTTGTGCACCGAAAGCTTATTGGTCAGTCTGGTGGCTTTGGCACAATGTCTGCCTAGAACACACCATGACAGTCACTCAATTCTTACCAATCACAGTATGAATGAAGGGGGAGGACACAAGTTGGAGAGAGGGTATCTTGGGTTTTCTCATAGAAAACAATTCACAGACACGTTCCATAATGAAAATAAATTACAAAAATTAAATAGCATAAATAAATTTTTAAAGTTAAGAAGAGTCCGAGAATGTGGTTGTTTGGCAACCAACCACACAGGAGAGGTTGCTGGGAAGGCTATAGGGATGTTTCTGAGGTTCAGGGACCTGCTTCCTAGTCAGTCTGTGGAGGTCAATAGATTCCTTGCAGCTTCCAAGTCACTTAGGCAGCCGGTTTCAGGTTAGTGATGTATTCCTGGACCCAGGCTTCTCTGGGGTCAGCACAGATTTGACGATTCTTTTTGGTTATGAAGCTGTGGAGAGAGTCAGGAAGATTAAACACTGAGGAATCCAGCAGGGGAATCTTGGGTCCACTGTGGCTCCTTCATTTTTGTTTGTCCTGAGAACTCAGGGCCTGCCCACTTTCTTGGGCATCATCGCCTACTTCAGTCTAGAAGCTTCTCTCAAGTGACTCATGGCTGCGTCCCTCAGATACTTCTCTCCCTCTCTTCCCTCTGGATTCGGGCAGCCCTCCCTGCCTCTGTAAGCCCCCTGACCAGGTCAAGACCCACCCAGAGGACTGAGCATTCCCAGATGGCTCCTGTGGACTGTGTGTGGGCTTCCCACACCAGACCATCCCCTATTTCCCCAGAAGTGGGAGGAAGACTGATACTTACATGATGGCAGGCTTGGAGCACTGACTACTGGTTTCATAATAGCTAGCTACAAATTTCTTCAAAATCTGCCGATTGACATAGGTGAAGCAGCAGGCAGTCGGAATGTCGGCACTAACTGTGGAGGAAGGGACAAAACGATTCTGAGTCACAGTTGGGAATAAAAGACAAGACAGCTTCTCCTAATCCTTGAGAAAGTGAGGAAGACACTGGGGAACACAGCCTTATTCAGGTATGGGAGTTGGGGGATGAGGCCAATGGAAGGCATTTAAGCCCTTTTACCCTGAACTGTCCCTGCCTCTTTGTTTCTGTCTGTATTTTTTTTTTTTTTTCTTTCTTTCTCTTTGAGTCTTTATTTTGATTCTTTTTTTAAAATTCTTTTTTTTCCCAATTCATTTTGGTTCTTTATATGAGCCACTTATATAAGTAGCATATTCTCTTATCTCATTTCCCTTCAGGAATGTTATTGGAGGTAAGAGGTCAAACCCCAGCCAAAGAGAAACCTTGAGCATCTCTCATTAGAAACTCACAGAATGGAGCTCTTGGGGAGATCTAGGTGAGTGGCACCACAAGACAGTAACCAAACCTGGACTTTGCTCCTTGTGGATCTTCTTCATTTAGGCTGCCATTTTGCTATCTCTAAAACAGGACAGTAACTCCCCTATCCCACTGTGACCCTCAGATCTGGAGATCAGACGAGCTAAGACCGCATTCTAATGATGAAAACAAAAGTCTTGAACAGACAGACTGAAAGAGATGTTTTAACAAGTTCTCTATTCTCTCTTGGGGCTCTCAGGCCACAGGAAGAGACTGATGTGGCCTGACTGTGGCTAGGGGGTGGGGTTGACCACAACACACAGACTCACTTGGTGTAGAGAAGGCCTGGGTGCAGAGGGCTGCTATGCTGAGCAGGATGGCAAGGGAAGCCACGGGGACCTTCATGGTGATGAGCAGGGAGAGCGGTTTGGGTCCGAGGGTCAGTAGAGCCCAGCTGGGACTGGTTACTTCTTCTGGAGTCCAACACCATCTCCTCTTCTTTTTATAGGCAGTCCTGGCTAATAGGGAAATGGAAATTGGGGGCGAGGGGGAAAATCTTAAGCATTATGATGTTGTCATACTGAGTGTTGCACAACATAAGGCCCCGGTGACCACGGGGCTCAGGATATCCAAGAATAGCATCTGAGCTAGAAGTCTCAGTCTTCCTCTCATGACTTGTTCTAGCTCCTTGTGGGGAAATGTTTCTTTCCCTCGTGAGTGAGCGGGAGGAAAGGGTTATTCTTGGCAGGGCGCTTCTCATAAGCACTGATCTCTATATGAACTTTCCAGCCTCTTTCCTTGCCACAGAGTTGAATCTTTGGTGCTTCCCCAAGTGCCCTAACCACAAAGATAGGGCCCCTGGGTTGATGCTGGGGAGCCTGGCATAAGCTTCCCTTAGATGGAAGGCATTGGAAGGAATCCCCGGCTAGAGGAATAGGAAGTATGAAATCATGGCCCAGTCATTCGTTCATTCATCAAATATTCACCGAGTGACTAGGGGCACTGGGTTAAGCATTAACTGAGGATCATAAGATATATTACATGTTGGTGTTCATATAAATCAGGAGTCTAAAAATAAATATAACCTATAAGAAACATTTCTAGGAAAGAGTTCTAAGGAAACAAACCTGTATATGGAGGCATCTTCAAACACGAAGACATCTGACCCAACACATTTACAACTCTAAAACATGGAAGCCTCGATTGTTTATAATTCAGCCTTTAAAATGAAAAATGTGGACGGCACAAAAATACTTGTAATATAAATTGTATTAAAGACCAAGATGGAAAATTGTATAAATTATACAACAGGAAGAAATCTACAAATGTATATATGTATCCATACATAGATATATTCCAGTTATCACTGATTTTGATTCAAGGCAACCTCATGTGTGCCAAAGTAGAACTGTGTTCGATAAGGTTTTCAATGCCAATCTTTCAGGACTAGATTGCCAGATTTTTCTTCTGAGACACCCTTGGATGGACTCAAGCTTTCAGTTAGCAGCTAAGCTAAGCACCAACCAGGGGCTACTATGTGTGTATGCGTGTGTGTGTATATATCTATATCTATATACTTAGAAACCCTGTACAGGATTGCAATGAATCAGAATGGACTCAATGGCACATAACAACAGCAACATATATATACACATACAAGAATATATATGTATAGATATACAGCAACAACATATGTATATATGTTGTTGTTGTTAAGTGTCGTTGAGTTGGTTCCGACCCATAGCGACCCTGCATAGGGTTTCCAAGGAGAAAGATGAGGGTGGGGTGGTCAACACTGATAAAGATTTAGTCTCAGAAACCCTAATGAGCAGTTCTTCTCTGTCCTTTAGGGTTATTCCAAATTGATTTGATGGCAGTGGGTTTTATATATATCTATATCTATATATATCTATATATGTTTGTTGTTGTTGTTAAAGAGCCGTCAAGTCAGTTTCTACTCATAGCAACCTTTGTATAGGGTTTCCAATAGTTTGAAGTGCTGACCTTGTAGTTGGCAGTCCAGTGGAGGTCCTACAGCACCACACCAGGGCCCCATGAGATTTTAGGGGGCTTCAAAAAGCTCATGGAAAGATGGCATGAAAAGAAAATGGATACATGCACACATACACGCATATATATTGTAACTGCATAGATTTTTTTTTAAATCCTAGGCAGGGCAAAAATTAAAAGCATCAGAAATAAATGTCCTAGCATATTGATCGTGGTTATATTTATGTAGTAGGTCTATGGGTAATTTGTTTTCTTGTTTTTCTCGTTTGCTGGATTTTTCTTGTTTATTTAATGGCAATGTGGTCTTCCTGGTCAGCCACACATTTATGAACAAATAGATTTCAAAACATTTATAGCATCACCAGTTGAAAAGTAAGTTGTTGTCAATTGTTTAACTTGACTCTGAAAGAAATTCATGACAAATATACTAAAATTTCTTTCTAGTAGCCTTTGCTAAAATGACATCTTGAGTTCCCATTCTTCTGATATAGTCTTTACATAAAGAATGCCAAACTTGAGGTGGTTTTCTTTTCCTATCCTTTCAGTTCCTCAATTCAGGGATGGAAAGGGACTACTTCCTCAGCCAAACATGTGTGATTTTCTTTTTTTTCTTTTCCATTCTTTCGTTTAAAAAAAAATTTTTTTTTTACATCATTAGTAAACAATACATCTAATTTATAATGATTTAGATTTGTTTTGTTTTTAAAATCGGCCTCTGCTCTGTAAATATCCCCAGTGTCGTAGGGACAGGTGTTGTGGTTAATCGCTGTGGGGTAAGCTCTGACTCATCAAGACTCTGTATTTCATAGAATGAAACGTTGCATGTTCATCATCATTGGCATATTAGAATCCATTATTGGTGCTATTATGTCAAACCAGCACATTAAGGGTTTCCCTTGTTTTCACTGCTCTACTTTGTCAACCATGATGCTCTTTTCTAGAGATTGGTCTTTCTTGATGATATATCCAAAATATGGAAACTGAAGTCTCCATTATATAAGGAACATTCTGTTTACATTTCGTCTTAGAATGATTTCTTCATTCTTTTGGCAGTCCATAGCACATTCAATATTCTTTGCTAACACCCCAGTAAATGCATCAATTATTCTTCTATCTTCCTTTTTCCCCTTGCCCAGCTTTTGTATGCATATGAGATGATAGAAAAGAAGATGGTTTGGGCCACATTCATCGTAGTTATCAAAATAACATCTTTGCTTTTCAAAACTTTGAGGAGGTCTTTTGTAGCTCAGTGTAATATGGTGCTTGGTTTTTTTGACTGGCATTTCTATGAATGTTGACTACTGATCCAAGTAGAATGAAGTCAATGATAACTTCCGTTTCTTCTTTGTTATTCACTACTTCTTGTTACTGTACTGTGTGAACAAATCTTCATAGTACAAAACAGGAAGCGTTAAGACTCCTAGGACAGGAATAAATAAAATCTCGGAATACCATGAGGAAAGAGAAATGGCCTCCCATACGAGGAGCAGAGAGGGCTTCGTGGAAGGAATGGGACTTTTGTTGGGTCATGGAAGACATACAGAAGTGGAATATGGATAGATGGGGTGGGAGGTGGTGGTCCAACTGACACAGAGTCACAGGGGTATGAAACGTTGGCTACAGGGGAAATGTGGATGATGACACCAAACTAAGGACAAATCAGAGATAATCTTAAATTCCCCCAAGTGGGATTAGAATTGATATGTTAGGTAGCAGAAACAATGGAAAAAAATAGATATAAGCAAAGCAAGACCACCCCCTAAGAATTCTTGTGCTTCCTGTACCGGTAGTGTTACTTTAAGCCCATGGACTCTGTTTTCTCTCCCATCCCTGTTAATGTTAAGGAGAGTTGTGAGGAAGGCAAAGCAAACCGAAGATTAAGGACAATGGCAAGTTTCATTGAGGCTATAACATCTGTTTTCTAACCTCGTTGTCAATTGCAAACAAAGGGGTCTTTTCTCTATCACTTGTTTCATTGGAAACTCCAGACCATAGAAAATATCCCTTTCTCCTTACCCTGTCCATCCTCTGCCTCCAGATCTTGATTGATACCAACTTGCCATTCCCTCTCTCATTTCTTGGGAAACCCCCTTTATGCTCATGATTCAGTTTTTTGAGAGTTGTCTTAACATGAGTCGGGAGTGTGAGAAGAAGGAAATGGAAACTGCTGAATCAATTACTTTTCAAATATTGGATCTTGTTATCAAACTCTAGGATTGCAACATTTACCACATGTGGGTTTTCACATCAGAAGTTCAAACCATGTCTTGTTGTTATAAAAAGCCCCCAATTCTAGCA